AAACAAAAAAACGAAACCCATTTTCAACAAGTGATCTAGAGAAGATCGATGATACTGGCTGGCATTTCCTCAATAACAGTATTGTAGAAAACTTCTAATTCTCCCAAAGCACGAGCATCGTTCTCAGTAACAAAGTTGATGGCAACTCTTTCTCTACCGAAACGACCAGAACGACCGATACGATGAATGTAATTTTCAAGATTGGAAGGAAGATCATAGTTGATAACTAAGGAGACCTGCAATTGGAAGTTTATAATTGTTGTAATCGGAGCCATGATATACCTGTTGGTCATCAATATCACAAGCAAGAAAATCGGTTGTGACCAGAACTCTGGAAGATCCGGAACGGAACTCTCTCATAATAACGGTACGCATTTGTTGCTCCATGTCTCCGTGAAGGCATGAAACCGTAAAACTTGCCTTGCGCAACTGGTCAGTTAGGCTCTCGGCAGTACTGATTGAGTTACAGAATATAATACATTGAGTAATGTTGACGGTACTATACACATCTACCAAACAATCAAACTTAAATTCCTTAAAAGTGATATTCGAGAATGTGACAACGTGTTTTCGGCTTACTTCTTTTTCGACTGAGATGTAAAATTGACGAACATATCCACGAGTTAGATTCTTCCCGTGGTCAGCGTCACTGAAATGATCCATTCTTGAACTCCCTGGTAACTTATAAATAGAATGACTCACTGTTCATCAGAATCAGCCATTTTGATGTGATACAAACTTGCTTTTGGTTTCACTTATCTCGAATGGTAACAGTCTGAAATCGAGAAATCAATAGTGAGGAAGGAGATAAGGGAAACTGACTCTTTCTGAAAACTTGAAGAGCGTTAACTGATAAGATTCCTCATATACGGAAAAAAAAAGCTATATCAAATAAACTAATAAGAGCGTGTACCAAGTGTTCGAGCCATATGTAGCTCTCTTCCTCATCCCCATTTTCGGAAGAATGTTGGACATGCAGCAAAACAGAAAGAGAAGCAAGATCTTTCTTTTTAAAAATTTCCAATTCGAAGAGCTTATAAGAACTTTCATACACGAACAAAATAAAAAGTTACAGTGTGAGAATGAGAAAGCTTCTACCCGACAACAGAGAGACAGAGAGAGTAAGCTAGTCATTTTCTATAGACCAATTGAAGTATAAATAAGATGTACAAAAATGGGGCAAGCCAGAGTACAGTTCTATCTTATGCATGTCTGATGACACCTCGAAGTTGTCAAGATAATGTAAGCCTCGGTCATTCATCAGCATACAGAATGCTTAAAGCAAAGCAAAGTGAACGCTAGAAGAAGAATCACCTGAT